ATTATTATTATTATTATTATTATTATTATTATTATTATTATTATTATTATTATTATTATTATTATTATTATTATTATTATTATTATTATTATTATTATTATTATTATTATTATTATTATTATTATTATTATTATTATTATTATTATTATTATTGTTATTATTACCATAAATTATCACTAATAATATTCCATTCGATTTTATAGTAATCCAATTTTTTTGAATAAATATTTTTCAATTTACAACACTTTTTTTAGGAGTATTATTAATATATATTATTAATTACTGTACGTTTTTCTTTTATAGAGCATTTGGTGATACGGCATTAAAACAACTTTCTATTTTAACGGCACAACCAGATATTGTCCGGATTGACCTGAATGAAGTTAGTTTACAATTTATCCTTGTTGCATCAGATGGCTTTTGGGATGTACTAACAAATGAACAAGCAATACATTTCGCGCAGACATTTCTACGTGTATCATCAAATCAGTGGCATAAGTTTATATTTTTTTTTTTTTTTTATTTTGTAAAAAGAAGAGAACGAAGAAAAAAAGAAATGGAGAGGGAGAGAGAGAGAGAGGTAAAGAAAAGAGAGAATTCGATTTACTGGATATTATATATCTCTCCCTCTCTCTCTCTTTCACTCTCTGATAGTTTAAAATTCAATGAAAAAAATTAAACTAGAAACTGATAAGATGAATTAATTAAATTCTCGAGTAAAAATTCTTTCAATTATTTCATTAAAAATATCATAAAATATTAAAGCAAAAAAAAATAAGGAGTAACCAAATGATATGAATTTTATTAAATGAAATATTTCAATTAAAAATTGGAAACTTATTATAAATAAATTTTTAAAATTTATCAATAATTATCGATTATTTTTATTTTAGAATAGATATTTACAGAGTTGCGGAATATTTGGTACGAAAAGCATTGAAACTTGGTTCTGATGATAATGTCTCTCTATTATTTATTCGATTACTTTAATCATCAATTAATAATTACTCTATCAAATTCGATTTATTTGCTCGCCTGATATTATTATTATTATTACTACTATTACTATTACTACTACTATTACTATTATTATTGTTAGCTATTATTACTATTATTATTATTATTATTGCTATTATTGCTAATACTACTTATTACTATTACTATTGTTATCAATATCAGTTATTGTATATTGTGCGAAAAAATTTTTGAAACTGATAATATTGATTATTACGGATTATTTCTGTTCATTTTTGTGCACCATTGAATTGTTCTATTATTACTAATTGAATTCATTTACTAAATTACTTAATATTGTACTATATTTCTTCTGCATTAATTTTATTTAAGTATTTTAATTCTTTAGAAGTAATTAAAAAAAAAGCAGAAAAAAAGAAGAAAAAAAAAAGAAAGGAATGTTATCTGCAAGTTTATGTTCCAAACTTATAACAGAAAAAATTGATCTCAATGATGCTGTCGCATCAGTTTATTTTGCAAAATCAACTCTTAATGGGACATCTGATGCAATTCGAATATCATTTGTAAATCGTATTACTTATGGTTATATTGCGCCAATTATTATATCATTTGGTATCATTGGTATATTATCAATTTGTTAAAATTTTAATTAATTATTAACAAATTACATTCTCTTAAAATGTGATAATTTGTCAAAAATTTTGATTAGCTATTAGTATAATTTTTAAATAATTATCGTATAACATCTAATTTCTTATTTTTTCCCTTTTTTTTTTTTAAAAAAAAGGGCATATTTATTTGATTTTTAATATTATTTCAAAAATAAAGCAATCAGTGTAAATACTTTTTTTTTCTACCATTAAACTGCATTGCTTATTAAATTTTACCTTGAAGAAAAAAAAAAAGTTCGACAAAATTGTACAAACTTTAAATTATGTAAAATTGAAAATTTCATTATAATAAATTTATACAAATAAAACGAGAAAAACTTTTGAATAGGAAATGCATTTCTAAATTAATTTAAAAAAATTAGTTAAGTTTAATTTAAGTTTTTTTTTAAATCAAATTTAAGTTTCATTTTAAATAATTCATTACATTTAGCTTGTTGGTGGGAATCATTTTAACAGGAAATATTTAAACATTTTCATTCAGAGTGTAACAATAAGTAATTAGCATACAATGATTTATTTAATTAATTTTCAAATGCAAAAAGTGTCTAATCTGATGAGGTTGAAGTTGTTTAATAAGCATAACGATGTCATCATCTATTTTCTTTTCTTTTTTTCCTTTAAAATATCAATTAATTGATAGTTTAATTAATTCTAATTTTTAGGTGACATAATGACAGTAGCAACATTAACATGTTCATTATTTAAACGTTCTTCAATTATTTATACCTACCTCATATTACTTGCCATTACCGATTTAGTAAGTTTTTCTAGTATTTTCTATCATTTTTCTTTTCAATTTTTCAAATACTATCATTTACAAATCATTCCTTTTTTTTGCCACTAAAATTTTTAAATTATAATTAAAAATTTTCGTTTAAATTTGAAAAAAATTTTAATCAAAATTAAAATTAAAAATAAAAAATTTGTTTTTATTGCTTACTTCTAGTTGCTACTAATACAAACTATAATATATGTAATAAAAATGCTTGAATTTTAGAAACATTTAAATTATCATGATTAATATCATTATTTTAGCTAGTAAATAACGATTAATATATCAGTATTACTTATTTGTTATCAATGATTTTTTTATCAATTCCCTTCTTTTATCAATATTTTTCGCCAAATTTATCAATCATTGTAAATTATTTGATATATTTGGAAGAAAAAAAAGGAAAGTTCGTTGATTTAAAAAGATTTCATTTAATTTCTTTATAATTATATGCCAATAATTAGCAAAATTATTCCCACAATTATTTTTTTTTTTAGTTAACACTTTTATCAGTAATACCAATGATATTATGGTTACTTGGTTATCGTCTTTGCTCCTATTTATCAGCACTTTATTATGCTCATATTGGATTTCCATTGGTTTGTAATTTATTACTAATATTTTTAATTTAATATTTTATTTCCAATATTAGCCCTTTCTCATTTTTCTTTTCTTTTCCCTTTTAATATAACTTATTAATGAATTTATTAATTATTTTACACAAAAATAAAACGAAAAACATATGTAATATAAAGTATATTATACGTAACAAAGCAGCTCCTGAATTACAACATCTGTTAAATCATCTTATCATTTCTGTAAAGATAAAATGTGATCATATCATATCATATCATATCAAATCATATCATTTGAAAGCATGATATCATCTAATACATTTAACAGATGCATTTGATTATTCATTTCTCCGTAAAAGAATGCAATGTTATTAGAAAAATTTGGCAGAAAAAAATAAAAGAAAAAAGGAGAATATATTATAAGTGGAAAGAGTAGAAAAATGAAAATATTAAAATTTCTGGAATTTGAAAATTTGAAATTATAAATTTGTGAAAATTTTTAAATGCACTATTTTTATTGAATTTTTTTTTTGTTAAATTGATTAGAATTTAAGATCATTACTAAGGTTATCCAGGAAATTAATTAAAATTTCGGTAATAATATTTGATAACATAAGTAATTGTTTTTTTTTAATTTTTAGGTAAACGCATTTATGGGTACCAGTGTATGGATTGTGGTATTTTTAACAATGAATCAATATATGGCTGTTTGTCATCCGTTTCATTATCGTCACCTCAGGTATGTTGCTGATAATAAATAATTATATTAAAATTTTCTGAAAAATTATTTTTCCATATGAAATGAAATATTTAGTTTTAATTATTTGCAGTAATTGAATTAAAGCATTTAATTTTCGATTAAACTACAAATTTTTTCACATGTCAAATTTGCATTTTTAAAAAATTTTCCCAAACAATTTGCTTCTATAAGCTTAAAAGGGAATAATTAATAAGTGTAATTATGAGTATTATCTTTTAAAGCAATTTGAAAAAGAAAAAAAAAGTTAAGTAATATGTAAGGATGAGATAAATAAATTTTTACCTTACTACTTATTATACTATATTTGGTACTTCATGAATATCCCAATAAGCTAAAAGGATTATTAAATTTTATTAATTATTAAATTAATTTTCCCACTTAATTAATATATTTTCAATTAACCTTTTTTTTGTCTTTTTTCCTTTTCAATTAATATTCAATAATTAATTTTCATTTTCAATTTCTTTTAGGGCACGAAAAAATTGTTTATTATTAGTAATTATATCATATGTGATGAATTTTTGCATCTATGCTCCATGGGCTGGAAAAAAAGTTCTCTATGAGGTTTGTAATTAAACTTAAAATATTAAATTATTATTCCTTCTTATTTTTTATATATGTCCCCTTTTTTTTAAAAAAAAATTTAGACCAAATATCATTTAATTCTTTTTTAAATTCATATCAAATATCATTTATTTCAAGTATTCGAAAGAGAAATGTAAATGAAAGGATATGGAAAATTTTGTAACGAAGAAATTTTAATTAAAAAATTACTAAATGCTATATATCACAAACCGTTTCACAAAACGAGTTTAATTTAATTAATCAAATTTATAAACTTAATGAAATTAAAAAAAAAAATAAAACCACATTTATTAGGTACCGGCTGGACTTGTACCATGTCAATTTGTTGTATGCGATCATAAAATTGAAATGTGGTATAGGATATATGAATGGTGTCGTGAAACAATTAGCCGTTTACTGCCATTTGTTTTGGTTGCTTATTTTAATTTGAAAATTTTAATTACATATCGAAATACTAAAAAGGAACGCTTTCAACGACTTGCTTCAAATCGTCAAAAAATTTCAACAAAAAGTGAACAAGTTAGTTGTATCATTTTCATATGTAATATATATATATCTTGTTTTTTAATTCCAATTAAAAATGCAAATATCTCTTTCGGTTAATTCCTAATAATATGTTATGCAAAATTTGAATTAAATTCCATTTTGATATACAATTATTCAGGAAAAAACATTGAAATTTAATAATATAACATTTTTTTTTCATTATTAGTCATAAACAATTTGTTTTTTTTTTATTCAATTTTTGCTAAATTTTTTCTTCTTTCACGCATAATATTAGCACATAAAATTTCGATAATTCATTATTATCATTTCGATAATATCATAAGTAAGCATAAATATATTTCATATAAAATTCAAATTAGACACCTTTTTCATTGCTAATTTGACGTGTTACAAATTTCACATGGTTACACGTATTTCACGTGTTTCACGTGTTTTTTCTTCAGGAAGAAAAGCGATTATTTACATTGTTATTTTCAATAATAATAACATTTTTCATTTGTACAATACCAGCTGCTCCACTTACAATATTCGTTTCTGATAAACGATCATTCAATGTACCATTTCAGGTTGGTTATTTCAATTCAAATTAAAATTTTAAAATTATTAAGTCATGTCTTATTAAACAACAAAATTTGTGCATGTGAATATTACAAGTATTTATAAGATGAAATTACTGTAACTTATAATATTTGTTACCATAATTTCAGCTATAAATTTGCATAAATGTTTATAATTTGAATATTTGCGAAATATTTATTACACTGTGATAATTTTTCCACATCTTCTGATAGTATTATAATAATATGTTAATACTAATTTTTTGCATAAATAATAAATGTGATAAGATCACTCACTGTGAATGAATTAATAAACATAAGTCAGAAAACAATTGAATTTCAGATAACAAAATAAAAAAAAAGAAATTACTGGTTAAATTCAAAAAGATAAAATAATCAATAAATATTCAAATATAGATTTATTACAAAAATATCTCATCCATTCTATTTTTAGCTAATTCTTCGAAATTTCAGATAATTAGAGGAATTATCAATGTAATGGAATTTACCAAATTTGCGCTCAATTTTTATTTTTATTGTTTAATTAATCCAAATATTCGTCTAATTTGCCTTCATGTAATCCGTTGTAGGCCAATGAAAAAATCGCCTCATATTTCAGGTAAATTATTAATTATTTTCTTTGTTTTTCCTTTTTAACATTTTATCAAATCATTATTATTGTTATTATTATTGTAATTATTATTGCTATTATTATTATTATTATTATTATTATTATTATTA